ATAAGTTCCACAGGGAAAGACACTACAGGCTCAAAGTAATGTAACTGTCTTTATTTTACAGGGCTGTGAATTCCACAAACTATAATCGAATCCCCTCTGTGATGGCATATTGAGAACTTGTGATGTCTTCAGGTGAATAAATGACTGTTATATATTGGTCTTTAGATTAAAAAGCTGCAATTTTGAATTGAATTTATATAATTCTCTTAATTGATAAAGATGGACTCTTTTAAGAGATCTTATACTAATACTACCCCAGGGGGAAAACACTTTTGTCTAAAACCACAAGTTATTACGCATTAAAAATACATATTGTGTGTTTCACCAGCAAGGTATTGGCTAATTCAGCAAGCTCTTAAAGTTCACAAGTTTATGCAGCATTTATGTCATTCTTTTTTCTTTATTTTTTTTTAATATGGTTAAAACCTTTCATCTTATGTGTAAAGGTGGCCTTAAAGGAATAGTTGAGCATATGTTGACAGAGTTTTCTATTTTGTGTGAACTATGCCTTTAAATTCATTTAGAAACATGAGAATTAAAAAGAACAATGCAGCACAAATAATATTCATAGAAATGATATAAACAAACTGCAAAAAAAAAAAATTGTACTGTGAAGCAGATTGCATTGCATTTTTTTTGTTTTACTGTGCAAGTGTGATCTAAATTTAGGATTTGCTCTGCACAGAAGGCTAATATGTGAGAAATGAAAGAGTTGACAAACAGCTTTTCAACAAGAACTAGATTAAGGCCTTAAGAAAGAGTTTCAATCCCTTTTACACCTGGCATTAACATCCATTTTTTTGTGATCAGATCACAAGTTTTCAGTGCTCAAAGTGTTTTGTGGGTTCTAAAACGTTTTGAAATTGTATCAGTGAACCATACAGGAGTAGTCAGAAACATTGCATTTAAATCAATCATCCTGAACGCATCCTGAACCACAGTGAACGAAGCAATGCCTAATGCATGTTAATACCAGGTGTAAACAGTAATGTGGTAATGATTCAGTCACTAAAAATGTGTTAATGCCAGGTGTATACGGCTTTAAATTGACCTTGTATTTCCCTTAAACAAAAACGAAGAAATGAATAACAAAATATCAAAAAGCAATAATCGCAAACAATACCAGTTGTCTAATTTCAACTGTCCGTCACTCTAAGCAGTAGGATATACAGTAACTAGATCATGTCCCTCAGGT